ACTTGTCACTATGTCTCGTAATCATCAAGTGCAAAAAATTTCTGAAAAAAGCCTAAATGATCCAAGATACTAATATGCTCTAATTTTACAACGGATTAACTCTTTTTATCCTAGCCGTACCCCCACGGACTCTGTACCGGTCCTGGGGCCGCCGCGCCGTAAGAGTGGGAAGTCAGTGCGTATAGTTCAAAGTGCTATATTTCTTACATTTACTCTAAGGTTTTAAAGAAACTTGGCAGTTATGTTAGAAATTGAATGTATATTTTGTAAATATATGTGGTTAGGAATTACACCAATTTCACAATGTAGATTTTGAAGTGTATTCCACCCTCGAACTTGACCCTGATTGCTGCGCCCACGACGACCCATTGGATTTTATAGATCTAGATCTAGACCTACAAATCGAGCACGAATTCCAGTACTAACCCCTTCACCATGATCTAAATCGCTATAAGATGAGTCTAAGTCCTGTTTCTAATCATCCACAACGGAATTTACGGCACTTATTTCAGAGTCACTTTCATCAAATTAGTATCATTCTCCCCTCACAACCCAGCGCCACTTCAAAAAGTACTTCGTCGGTCGTGAATGCGCGTTTTCAAGACATCTTTCAAGCTTCAACACTCATCAAAAACAAAGTAACCACTGTTCAATACTGTTCATTGGAAAATTAAAATATTCAGAGAGAGCTAGCATCGCCGTATTTGCGTATTTTGGTCATTACAAGCAGAACTAGCTTCTTTGACGTGACCATATCGCTGTTCCGAGAATACTCGTAGCCCGGACTGGTCCTCGTTACGAGTATACTCGTAGCCCGGATAAAAAGAGTTAAGAAGAAAAAAAAAGACGAAAATCAATAAACTATTTTTGGGGGGTCGAATCACACGACATTTGAATAGCTCTGCCACTCTTCCAATAGCTGTGAATAGCGCCAAAATCGTGAATGTTGAATAGTGAAGTCAAACAGGGGCGCAGCTGTAGAGGGCAGCGGGCAGCTCACAGGGCTAAGGGGATGGGGCATGAACCGGGAACCCGGAATGAAATGGTGGTGGCACAAAGCAAGAAGACACAACCTGGCAACTTTCTGCAACTGTGCAAAAGTATTCGTTAGACAGCAGCCAACAAAACCCAAACCAGTTCAAACCAAGCAAACCAGGAGAAAGGCGAAGGTTAAAAACACTTACTTTTGCTTGAAGACACTAGTGAAGGAAAGAACGAAGAAAGACAAATAAATCAGTGTGCCGGGGGAGGGGGGGGGGTGAATAAACTTGGGACAAACAAAGAGTGGGGGAGGGAGTGTTTAGTTTTAGTAGAGGTTTTACAGCGCTTGCAACTGCATAAGGTTAAATGAGCGCCAGAAGATTAGAGGTGTTACAAGAGAGTAACAAACATAAAAAAAGAAGAAGGGGAAATAAGGAGGATAGATGTTTGATAGGAAAGAAGAAGCTCACCACACCAGAGCACCTGCCAACCACCCACTGTGGAGTGTTGGTTTGATAAAGAATTTAATCATCTGCCAACATAATACTGTTTATTTGTTTGTTTGTTTGTTTGTTTATTTGTTTGAGTAAAGAACAGCACATCGACACAGTAATGGTCTTTTAGTGCTGGGGAAAAGTAAGACAGACAGACAGACAGACAGACAGATAAAACAGAGGGAGCTGGAGGGGGGGGCGGGGGTGGGGGAGAGGAATTGAAGCCTCTAAAACATCAGTTGATTCAGATATATTATTACAAACCAATCATGGCAAACAAATGTGTACACTACCAATACAAGCAAATAAACACAAATAAAAATGTGTACTTTCATGCCATTTATGATAAATCACATAAATATTGCAAATCAACTTTTTTAAAACCTGTGTATTTTTATGTCTTTTACAAAAAGTTGCCTGGAGTACTTATTACATATTTGCCTCCCCCCCCCCTCCCCCCATCCCCCACAACATAAAACAAAACAACCCCACCTCCTACAACACAAGCACAATTACATAAAGTGGGACAGGTTTTAGAGCAGCGTATCTGATAAGGCTCTCAAATTCCCATCTGCCGAATCCGGGACTGTCCTGGGAAATTAAGGACACTTCTGCCATAAGCTGTTAAACGACTTTTTTCATTTTTGGCGCCAATTTTTCATTAGTAAAATTACCCTACTTGTGTGAAAAAATTAAAGTGAAACTGTGACTAGTTTTTTAAAATAAATTGGAATTCAAATTTCAGAATAACTATTTTTAAATAGTTACGCTGACAAAAAAAAACCTCTTTTTCTCGAAACAGCTGTGAAGAAAATAAAAAACGTTTTGTCAGATTACGGCAGAGTTGGCAAGCCTGCAAACACAGAGATGACAAATACGGTGTACAGGACGAGGTGTACCAACCATCATGTGACGCGTCGCGAGGCGCGATGGACGTGGGGAATTCTGGGTTGTAGAGATCGGCTCCCTTGGCCAGCTTGGCTCCCGCGGCGGCCATCTTCTTGTGCTTGCCTCCGACGGGGACCGGGGGCGGGGCCGGGGCGGCAGGAGGCGGGCTGATCTCTTGTCCGTGCCGTTTGTCCAGCTTCTTCTTTTTGCGCTTTTTGTGGGGTGTAGCCTTCTCATCCTCCGACTCGTGCCTGTGTGGAGAGGGGGGGAAACAAATATAGTCAAACCTGCTCCAAGACAATCACCTGTACAAACAACCACCTGTATAAGACAATCACCTGTATATGACAACCATCTGTACAAAAAACTACCTGTATAAGACAATCACCTGCATATGTCAATCACCTGTACAAACAATCACCTGTACAAACAACCACCTGTATAAGACAATCACCTGTATAAGACAATCACCTGTACAAACAACCACCTGTACAAGAGGCTGCCTGACTAAGACATTCACTTGAACAAGAGACAACCTGCAGAAGACAATCACTCGTACCAAATACGACCTGTAGAAGACTATCATTTGTACAAACTGACAACCCGTATAAGACAATCACCTGTACAAACTAAACGATCACCTGTACAAGACAACCAGCTGTGCAAACATCCAGATAATCTTTTGGAGCTAGGAGTGAGTGACAGGCAGACAGACAGAAACAACAGAGAGAAAGAAAAGAAAAACAATCTGTCACTGGTGTCTTCCAATCATCCATCCCTTTGTAAGTTTGGGTAAAGAGAAGCACGCCCACAAAATAACCATCATTCAACACTAGAAAAAAGCAAAACAGACAGACACATTCAGCAAAGTAAACGAAAACAAGTAGGAACTATGAGTGGTGTGTGTCTCCCCCCCCCCCCCCCAAAAAAAAAAACAACCCAAAAAAACAACCATTTTTTAAGTTTCAGAAAGTGAAAAAGTTTGGCACTTGCAACACAAAATCGTCACATAAGTGCCAAAGACTAGGGGTGTTGCTCAATGGTAACACACAAAGTTTCTCTTCAGATCAATCGGGTAGCTCTGTTTTGGAGCCACTGCTGTCTGTTAATCATTTCCAAACTTAAAATTTACAAGAAGAGAATTACAGTAGTCAAGTGTTAAGAAATATTGAGGTAAGAATCTGGAGAGAATTTTGATTCAAGAGCTGAAAAATTTGACCTATTCTCCTTCCTTCACACTATATTTGTTTTTTACCTGATTGATCCGATGTTCCACCAACAGTTTATGGTCAAAGTAAATGCTTAAGTAAATACCTATGAGCAGTATACTTTAGCCACCAGACTTACTTCCTCTTTCCTTCCCTCGGTTTTTCCACCGAGACTTCTCGATCGGCAACTTTCTTGTGCTTTTTCTTCTCTTTCTTTTTGCTGGAGATAAAAAATTTTAAAAGGCTGTTAAGTTAATATATTCTCAGATATTATTGGCCAGCTATTCAGATGTACTAAGCCCCAAATTTTAAACTTTTTAGATAGAATCTGTGGTAATGGCTGAATATGCTTGTGAAAAGTTCTACATATCGATAAAGATCAAGAAAGAAAAGATACATAAAATGGGGATACAATTTGTAACAAGACTGCTGAAACAGTCGTTCCTCGCTCCTGAAAAATGTTGCTTTCTGGGTGGGCTTGCTACATTTGAAAAGCTTGCTGACGATATGCATAGATGGAATATTTTAACATTATAGATATATACATTAGCCACATAAAGTAGAACCTGTCCTAACAGCACCTAAAGTAAAACCTGTCCTTACAGCACCTAAAGTAAAACCTGTCCTTACAGCACTTAAAGTAGAACCTGTCCTAACAGCACCTGTCCAAGACAGTCACCTGGACAAATGACCACTTCCCACGTCCGACTGTCTAAGACAACGAGTCTTTTCTCCTCAACAAAGGATGGCAGTCTTGAATAATTCTGACTGCATATGTGAGGCAGCGTGGTGGAATCAGGCTCTCGTCAATTTTTGGGTATGTACAGTTTTTGGTATATCGTAAAGCTTGTTCACTTGTCTTTATTTGGATGAAAAAAATATCCAATTATCTTGAATGGAAGTCGAGATATTTGGGATTGAAGGAGGTGAGGTCACCTGTTTTCAGAGGTAAAATTAGTGAGAAAATGGCCGCCAAAGATTAGTTATTTCCTTAGCTTAAAAGTCCGTGGTGACTGAAAATTTACATTTTTTGTGCCTTTAATCAACGTTTTTCAGAAAAATCCACACAGAAATGAGTTCTTTAATGGGCATGAAAGGTGTTGACCCAAAAAACAAAAATTTGAAAAAAATTCACAGACCAACAGAAAAAAATCAAGTTCTTCACTTTGATTATTTTGACGAGAGCCTGATTCCACTAAGCTGCCTCATATATGCATATGGCTAATTCCTTAAAAAAAGGTAAACGTTTACATACAGAGTGCTCTAAATTACAAGTTGCTGGGGAAACAGAATATAGGCTACTGCAACACTCAGCAAGTCCCAGACCAGAGATTTGTAACTTGTCTAGTTGATAAAATTCATTCAAAGATACAAGATCCAAGTTGAACGTTTACCATGGAAGACAGAAAAAAGAAAAATAGAGAGGTGTATAAAAGATGTAGAATTACAAAGAAGGAAAGAAAAAAAAAAGGGCTGTATTCAGTAACAGAATAGAAAAACATATGTGAGGCATGCTGACAACATGAGTTACTTCTCGCGATTCACGAACGGAGATATTGTCCGAAAATAGTTACTAGGTTCTAATTGGTAAACTCTGAATTGACACCATTTTCCTTCAAGTCAAAAAGTCTTTTATCATTCCATGATTATTAATAAATTGCACAAACTCCACCCATGAATTTGAAATATCTATTGTCAAAGGGCTACAATTCGAGAAGCAG